CCTTTGTTTTGTCTCCCTCTGCTAGAGACCTCTGCTGTTTTGTTTGTGCTGGCTCTGGTTTCATTATCTTCCTCATTTCCTTTCCGGTCACACTCTGCCATTAACAGTTGTCATTTTCAGGGTGACTTTAGTGTCTACCTGAAGCCATTGGCCTGTTCCCTAGACACCTCCATTTCACCCTCATATCAGTCAGAACTTGAACATGTAGACAACCACAACTGGTTGGATATAGGGATTATAAGGTCCCATCCCTAGCTCCCCCAGTTCCCAACACAGCCCACCACTCACATCTGTTCCAAGGCTTTTCTGGTAGCACAGGGAGAGGCTAATGAGCAGATTTTTCTACACAACCATATAACACTGTCCTTCCATGACTTCCCGGGGAGTGCTTCACTCTGTCCCTGAAATCAAGGAAAGCGATTTTCTTGCACTGTTCAGTATAAGTTTTATGTCTCCTGAGAATGTGTACACTGATGAAGGTTGGGGTGCCCAGTACTAAAGCTCTATCTCAAAGTTAGCTGCTTTCAGAAATTGGAATTAAGGTTGGCAAATTCCTTCCATTCTCTACTGAGGGACCTATGCAGTAGGTCAGGGTTTCTAATATTCTGTTTCTAAAGAAATAATCACCCTGCTTTGACACCCCCAACCCTGCACTGAGGCTATCTTTTTCCAGACTCATTATTACCTCCCCTCAATGCCAGTTTCATTAGCTGATCCCTCTGTACATTATAAAAAACAAACTATTCCAGGCTCCCATGTCATCACACCAAACAGATAATGCCTATCATCCTACTAGACTCTACTCTCTTCCATGAAAGCCTTTGGACTGTGGCCCCACTTTTCAAATTTTGATAACTTTCACTGGCATGCAACTTTTTTATGTATGGATGTTTTGCCTGCATGTATGCCAGTGTGTGCAGTTCCCAAAGAGGCCACCAGGTGGCACTAGATTCCCTTGGGACTGGAGTTATAAGACCACATGGGTGGTGGGAATCGAAGCTGGCATTCTCCAGAAAAGTAGCCAGTGCTTTTTTTCAAAACAGGTTTTTTCTGTATAGCTGTAGCTGTCCTGGAACTCACTTTGTAGACCATATTGGCCCCACACTCTGAGACCTGCCTGCCTCTGCCTCCTGAGTGCTGGGATTAAATGTTGAATAAAGATCATGTGTCCAAGCATTGTCCAGAGGACCCTGAACACCCAGTCTATGCCCACACCCCCTACAGGTGTAGTTCACCTGTCTTCCACCTCAGGGAAAGCCGCTCATTCACCTAGTGTAAATGGCCACAACAGAAGTCCCTTTAGACTTTATTACATCATTTTCAGATCTTACTGTTTTTATCCCTGATCCAATGACTCACACTATCACCACCTCTGGGCTACTAATAACGGTAGTCTCCTCTCATATGCCTACCTTATTTTCCAGTCCATTTTTTGCAGGGTTGCTGACTGCAGTTTCAATCAACACATGGCTGGCTTCACAGCTCTGGCCCACCTCATCACCTGCTCAGGAATCCTTCTTATGTCTTTTAAGCTCAGTGCTGAGACTTCAACTGTGCCTGATCCTCAGTCCATGCTAGCTTGCAGTTTACTCTGGGATTCTCCGTCAAATGAAGCCATTACAATAGTCCACTTGCTAACAGCTCTGTCCACTATCTGCCTGGCTTGATCCTGTAGTTCTAGCTCCTAGCACATCTTCTTGCTCAAGGCTACCATCAGAATTAACCATTGAGTGGCCTAGCCACAAAGGAAAAGTTTTGAAGATGTCACGACCTAAGGGTCCTGCAAACATTTTTCTCATTTGGGATATTTGGACTTCTTCTGAGGATGGGCGGCACATATTTGTTCATCTCTCCCCAGCCCGGCTGCCTTCACTTATTCTTTCCCTAGATAGTTTCCATCTCACCACATCTATAAAAAACAAGTGTTATGTATATGCAGTGTTCTGCCTACACGCCAGAAGAGGGAACTAGTTCTCATTACAGATGGCTGTGAGCCACTGTGTGGTTGCTGAGAATTGAACTCAGTACCTTTGGAGGAACAGTCAGTGTCTTAACCTCTGAGCCATCTCTCCACCCCTTACCACCCCCCACACACCTGGTCAACTTGTTAACTCTTTCTCCAGCCACCAAATATGAAGGTGGGGAGCTTGGATTCTGGATGGCTACCCCTTCTGGACTACCAACATAGAGAGGCCTAGAGGCAGCTTCTGAAGCAATCAAAGGGGTGTATGCTAGTGTTAGCCTCATGAAGCCATAGAAAAGGCAGGTTTCCTCTCCCCAAAGAGAACATATGTATGTCTTTAACATCAGAACTATGGATCTCATTATTCTTCCCACTTGCCCCCAGTTCCCAGCGGCCCTCCGTCAACCACCATCTTGGCCTCCTCTAACAAAGTGAATGGCGGGGATGACATCAGTGTGCTCTGTACTGTCCTAGGGGAGCCTGATGTGGAGGTAGAATTCAGGTGGATCTTCCCTGGACAGAAGGTGAGTGCCACATCTAGCCATAGCCATTACCATTACTTTTCACCACTTAGAGACACCAGACTTTCAAATGCAAGGGTTAGGACTGGGTGGGAGTCAGCGAATGTTTGTCTAAGGTGTTTCAGTCTACTTCAAAATATACTGTCTTCCAGAAAAAGAAAACCAAAGTAGATGGCTCTATGAGGTAATTCACTCAAGATGCCTTTATATGTGTGATTTTCCACCACTCCTTAGAGATAGTGATGAAAGGGGCAGAGTACTTACTTCTGAACTTCAGTCTTCACTCTCAACTTCCAGGTCTGTCACAGGCTAATCTCTTACCTCCTCCAGGAATCCTTCATGATGCACAGTGCTTCCAAGTCATGGGTGGGAGAAAGGGAGGCGACATGTGTCCTCATACAAGGCCTAGGAAAAGCTTTGAGAGGACATTCTCCCAGTAGGCACATAAGCACAGACCCTGTTCACAAGGTGTGGTGAGGCCCACATCATTAGAAATAAGTTCTATAAAAGAAAGTATGGTGTCTTTGGCCTTTGTGCATGCTCTGATCACCGAAATATGCCCCAGAGAGGGCATATCCCAAGCTATACTGGATAGCCAGAGCTCAGGGCTAAGCTGGTGTTGGATGAAAAATTATGACCCCCCCCAAAGAGCATTACTTCCCAGCATCCTGATGCTGTTTGTTGTCTTTTAAATACATTTTCAGACTTAGCATTCTTGCTTTTCAGTAGAATGACCTTTTACATTGCTGTCATTTTATTAGGGGAAAACATATTCAGTTAACAATATTATAATTACCTTTACTGAGTGATTTTAGAGAACACTGGTCTGCTCACCATAATTGCCTGAAACAGACCTTAAAGGTGACTCTCTTCTAGAATAAGTGCTCACACTGTGTACAGGATTATCTTACCCTTCCTTGGTACAGTTTGCCTCCCTTAGTATTCTCAAGGAACATTAGCCTAATTACATCCCTGCCTCTCCCAAATCAGAGCCACAGGAAGCTCTACTTCACTCACACAGCCAGTGTTCTGAGCATTGGACCTTAATTCCATGAACAAGAACCACTTGGCAGTGAAAGTTGGCAACATGAGGATGATACAATGGAAAAAATTCCGCCTATGTATTTATGCTTAAGACAAGCTTCCCTTAGAGATCCAAGATAATCCATTTCACATCTATAAAGAGCAGAAAGAAATCACAAAATGGCATCCTGAAATTCAAGACACCCCACTTGGAAAAAAAAATGCAGCCTATAAGCTCACCATACAAACTAGTCTTCAGTGAGCATGAGCTTTGTATTCAAGAATGGGCTGGGTTTGTAGCTTGTCACTCTGGCTTCAGTCTGTGTGCCATCTTTAAATAGGACGAAAGGCCTGTGACCATTCAAGACACCTGGAGACTGATCAACAGAGGCCTGGGGCACACCACAAGAATCTCCCAGAGTGTCATTACCATCGAAGACTTTGAGACCATTGATGCAGGATATTATATATGCACGGCCCAGAATCTCCAAGGACAGACTACAGTGGCCACCACTGTTGAGTTTTCCTGACTTGGAAAATGAAGTACAGTGAACTGATGGGCAGCCATCTGTATACACAACATCAAGGTGCTTTCCCCCCCCCCCCACTTTTTTTTTTTTAAGTACCTGTAGGTCAGACAGACATCCAAATGAAAAGGAAGTGTTGCCTTTTCTAACAGAAAGTATATTTTAATTACTTAGAGTTATGTCTCTTTTTCTTTTGGTTTTTCAAGACAGGGTTTCTTTGTAGCTTTGGAGGTTGTCCTGACACTTGCTCTCGAACTCACAGAGATCTGCCTGCCTCCCAAGTGCTGGGATTAAAGGTGTGCACCACCAATGCCTGGCTAAGCCATGTTTCTAATTTTTATACCTAGAAAACATGTCAACAACTTTGTATAATCATTTCTATTAAATAAGCAAGATTTTATAAAATAAAAAAGAGCCATTTGTTGTCTCATTTAGTTTGTGCACCCAGAAGGATGTGACAACGATCTTTATATTACTCCCTCGTGTTCAACTGCTTACTCACAAGCAACAACTCAAGATTTCAATGTGTGTTAATTTATAAAGGTATCAAAAATCACATTTTTATTACATTGCCACACTGAAGGTACTAATTTTAAATTTCTCAAACAATGTAACCTTTAAATTTAACCTTTAACATAACATAGATGAACACATTAAGGAAAATTCAACTTTGGCTAGACCTGTCTTCAAAAGTACTTACACAATCACAGATGTTCCAGTTTTCTTAAGCCATACAGTAGAAATTGTTTAAACTAGCCAAAATTCAGTGTCTGAATTTTGAAAAGCTTAACCTTAAACTCAAGCTGTGTGAGCCAATTTCATCCCACAATGAAAATGTGGTTTGGGTTGGGAGTCCAGTCCAATAGCATAGGACCCTGTCTTCATTAATGAGTGTGGAGAAGGGTGAGAAGGGTGTATATAACACAACCCAGTGCTTTGAAGAGTAAAGTATGTCAGAGGTTGCCATTCTATTGAACATTTCATCATTATTTATTTGATCAAAGTAAAATACACCTTCCATCACTATAAACTACAGTTGTTCACACACCCACATTTTTTTTTTAAAGATGTGTCAACAGTTTTGTACACAAAACGTTTGGTTTAAAAAAAAAAAAAAAACCCTTTAAAAGCTCTCTATTTTGTTTCTTCTCTCGTCTTCTAGTCCCTAAAGGCATTTTAATTGCTGTAAGATTGACTTCCCAGTCACCGAAATGGTATGGATGGTGGCAGGGAATCAAATGAATTTTTACCATAACTAGAACAAAAGCGACAACCCCAACTTTGGCTAACTAATGTCATTGGAAACGGCTTGGGAGCAGAGATATTCCGGGAGGTGGCAGTGAAGCTACATTCTATTTATCAGAAGCAAACATGGAAAGCTACATATATCATAAACTATTGGCGATTAGACTTCACCCAACATAACCACTAATTAAAAGCATGCGTCATGAATATCAATTAGCTACGCAGTGTGCAGGCCCATGATGACTCAAATATCCACATCTAGTATCCTGAATCTCCTAACTATAGGGGGTTATTAGACCAGCCATTGAACATGGATTAGTAAATACTGACTGACATCACAATGTTGACAGGTATGGGGAAGTGGGGGTGGAATGGGGATGAATGGAAGCCACAGTTATCCTCCTACCTTTTACAAAGCCTTGGGGAGATGGAGTTGCATAAACTACATTTCTCACTCTTTGGCTGACCTTTGTTACATGTCAATGACAGGAAGGATGCTCAAAGGGCCCTAAATCAGCATCACTGCCCAGACTCTTGTCCTATTGGACACCAACTGTTGGTTAACAAGGTGCTGCTGGCCATTAGTACATGCTGAAGGCCATCTTTACTGATTTCCCTTTGGGTTGCCAAAACCTCTACTCCCCGACCCCCAGATCCAGATGTTAGCTTATTAGTCCAGCACCTCCAAGACAAGCTGGCTCCAGAACAGCACTTTGTAATGAGGAAAGAGGTAGAAGGTTTGCTTCCGTGGTTCTATATATGGAGGTGGGGAGAGGCAGAAGGAGATAATGGGGAGAGAAGATGAAGGTTGACCTCTGAAGACTGCTTTGATTCAAGGTAAAAAGAGAGAAGTACCAATGGTTGCTTCTCTCTTGTTAGTCTTTATACAGATTTGTGTTTGGAAAAATTAGCTCGTGTAGCCTGAGTAAAATGGATCAGAGTGTAGCAATTAGGTTCATAAAAATCTACAGGAAAGGAAAGGAAAAAAGTCAAACTTGGTATCAACTGACAAAACTGAACCCTGAAAAGCTAACAGAAATGTACAGACATCAACAAATCAACGGGTTTTTCCTGTCACATCCTATCCCTGCTGTGTCACACAGTGCTGCGAGGAGTCGGTAGTAATTCAAGCCACTATTACTGCTTTCTCTTCTATGGTTTTTGTTGACTCGTGTACACTGATTATAACTCAACTAATACAGAACCAGCTATATTCGGCTGTTGACTTTTTAATACACAGCAGAGAGGGCTGTGACAGTCACATGACATACCAGTACACCCATTTCATTCACACACACACCCCTGCCCACAGTCAGACTGAAATAAAAAAGAAAAATCACAAGAAGGTGTCTCTGGTGAAGAATATTATAAAGGATATAAATCTTTATCTTAATAGGGCCCTGAGAGTTTCCCCTTATGCTTAGGTGAAGGAAGGCAAAAGAACAAGGTTCCCTCGTTCCTTAAGTGCTCTGTGCAACTATGTCCACATCAATTCCAAAATCTAACTTTGGAGGAGGCTTCTGGATCAAGTCTACAGCCTTCCCCCGGAGCGCCTGACTCGAAAGTAGCCGATAAGGTGGTGGCTGCTTTCCAGTTATCCTGTGGAAATTCCAGAAAGCTAATTCAGCTCTTGTTCCCACGAGAGGGTCAGTCCTGCAGAAGCACACCTCAGTGCCTTCAGAGACTCTCCCCCGTTCTGAAAGTGTCATCTGGGTGAGATGCTGGGGCTGGAGAAGGAACCGGAATTCCTGGGAGACTGGAAAGGGATTGCTGAGGATGTAGGAGATCTCTTGGGGCTGCATAGGTCCCCGTTGTGCAGCTTCCAGAGCAGCTCCTCGTTCTCCATGGACAGTCTCTTGTTGACCTTTGATTCCTTCTCCAAGGACTCCTGCAATGCTGCCTGCTCTGTGGAAAGTTGCCTTGAAAAGAAAACCCAAAGACCATGTGGAATCCAAGTCAAAAACTTACTCTTCCTGTTTAAATATGGCGATGCAAGAAATGTAACTCTGACAAAATAAACAGGATCTTGCCTGGGGTCATACCTTAAAAAAAAAAAAAAAAAATCTAAGAGACCCAAATAGCTGGGTGGTAGAGGGCCAGCCTAACATGTGTGGGGCCCTTGGCTCAGGTCTGTGCACTACAAAAAGGAAAACAAAACTCCCAAATACCAAAAGCGTAAAGCTTGACCCAAATAAATAATCCTATTAGCAACAATGGACAGTCCTAGCTTTTTGAACAGTTTCCCAATAGGCAGTAGGGCAGTTGCACAAGGCTTTGGCTCCTGTTCACATCTGTGATCACATCTTCTCTGAATTCATCATTACAGTTAGTGAGCTCCAGGTTGGGGAGAAAGTCTAGGTCACATTGGTAGAAGCATGAACGTTTACTTTCCAAAGGAAATCCATGCCTCTCCATCTGCTTTACTCAGTGCCTAGAAGGCAGCCCTTGGAGCATACCTAGATGGGAACAGCAGATGTTCAAGGATGTGAGAAGGAAAAACAGACCCTGGTACTATTACCTCGAAATCGCCATGTGTTTGTCCATTCGAGCTTTTAATTCCTCGTTTTCCTGCTGGAATCGCTTCAGTTTGTCAACCAACACCGTGTTGTTGTCCACCTTGGTGTAAACAAGGTTTGTAGTCATAAACGAATGAATACATAAATTCTGTCACTTAAGGCATATCCCTGATAGAGGACACTGTCACAAGATGGAGTGAGGGGAACTGTACAGGCTAACAGACTGTGAAGATGCAATGCAGCGAGGCTCTGTAGAGCTGGGAAGTGATGACCGATAACCTCCCAGCACAGAACAAGGGGCACCTTTGTCCTTCTGGTCTCCACAGCCATCACTCTCACAAATCCACTAGGTGAGAGATGTAAGCATAAGACCCACAAAGGCCTTTAATCACTGAACATGGTGGCAAGCTAATTCCATCCCAACTCATTGTCCTTAGGTATGTTTACTACTTGTTTAGGAGGCAACGTCACAAGCTCCAAATTAACTTGGCAGGTCTCTGCCTACAGCGGCTCTCCTGCTTGGGTTGCAGTTTCTAGGTGGAGGTCTTGGTTTTAAGACATTCTCATGTCCAGAAAAATGTTCACAACAAGCCAGTCTAGTGAAATAACTTCCTAGAAAAATATCTACTGAATTTTTTTTTTAAAAAAGAGGGAGGAGGGGGAGAGAAACACCTTGAAATGCTTAGAATAAAGCATTCAAGATAAAACCACAAATTGGAATGACTTGGAATTAAAAACAGTGGCCGTTGGCCAAATAGTATTATTCTACCAATGCTTTTGTTTCATACAGGTAAAAAACTTGACCTTTGATGTCACAGAGATAACTACTGGCAGAGCTAGCTCTCAAAGCAAGGCTTTCTTTCTCGAGCAATGTCTGTTGTCTGTCCTCACACTAACTTGACACCAACTAGAAATATCTGGGAAGAAAGCCCTGAGGAAGGACAGTGTACATCAGGATGGGAGATTGACTTCTTGATGGATTGCCTAATGTGGGCAGCACACGGACATTGGGGAAGCAGCTTTTCATTTGCTTGGCCCTCATTCTCACTGGGAGTTTATCTACCCTGCTGCCCACACTGCTGTTGCTGCTGATTTATCAACTTCTTCAGGCTTCCAGTGTGGAAGAAAGGCTCTCCAGGAATCCCTGTCGGCCTTTGGCACCAGGTTGCAACTGCAGAGGCGCCTGACCTTGTGGATTGAACAACTACCAGGATCTCAGGTTCCCCAGCAGCCATTTTCAGGCTACTCTGAGCTGATCATATAAGCCAACCTAGCAAATCCTCCTCTAATGGATATCACCTCAACTCTGTTCCTTTGGAGGACCCTAAGATACTAAGTGTTCCAATTTCGTTGAAGGCCAAGAACTCCTAAGTACTCGATGTGGACAAGGCAGCCACACTGAGTGCATCCATTGTCATAGCAATCTATCCTCCTATATAAACAACAGTGTGCTGCTGACTTATGCTGCCTCTGTGTCGGGGCATAAAACAGAAATATCATGGCCCAATAGAAATTAAAATGGGTGTATGTTTACAGCAGAGGCTTTTACCACCTGAGATCTGATAAGTTCAGAAGCATGAATGGAAGATGGAGCAACAACTTATTAACAGGGTCTCCTGAGTCATCACTGCCTGCCTGCTGAGCAAGTGCCACAGGGTGACCTTTGCCAGGACATGTACTGGGTTGGGTCTATTAATGACTAGGAGTTTCCTGCATTCCCTGAAGAGGAGGAAAGAAAAAAGCCATTTCTTGTATTTCTGGTGCCTCCAAAATAGGTAGAAGTGAAGAGTTCTGGCTATACGTTATCTGCTACCCATTCTGACCCCTACATGATAGATGGGCTGTGTGCTCTCAAACCAGAACTGGGCTGGACTTAAAATGTCAATTCGGAAAACTCTTTAGTGGCTGTCTGTCACCTATGTACCTTTGCTCAGGACTTTACTGAGACAGGACATTACTGACAGGAAGGCCGTCCACACTACTTTAGTATCAGATTTGCTCCCCGTGCTGCCACAAATGCCTCCATGGGGGTGAATGCCCACAAAGAGAAACACCCCAATCATCCCTGTGAAGCCACCTAATACTAGGGGCCTCGGCACCCACTGGCCTGCCAGGCATCAGCATGGGAGTGAGCCCCTTGTGACCCTTCAGTCCCGGCCCAGCCACAAGCTGACCACAGGAATGGGCCAAGCAGTCCCAAACAGCAATGGCCAACCTGATTATGACACTAGGCTTTAGGTGTCTTCTGCACAGTGATTGCAAGGAATCTAAGAACTGCTCATGTCCGACTGCTAAAAATGACTAGTTCTGCCCCTCGTCTTTTGGCTACCACAGATGTATTTCCCTTAGAAATTATTAGCACATATTCACTGAACAGTGATGAGCTTCATAATGGCATTTTTGTTCAAGTGACTCATGTAATATTTACTCTCCGTTACTCATTCCTTTCTCCCCTTGCTCATCCTCATCCTCACTCTCTTCCAATATGGTCCCCTAGTCTCATGACATATTTACACATGCTCATCGTCTAGGCTCCACACGAGAGAATATAGTGTTTGTCTTTCGGGGCCTGGCTTATTTCACTCAATGTGATCATCTCCAATTCCATCAATTATTTCTGCAAATGACATAATTTCATTCTTCATTTTGGCCAATAAAAATGCCACTGTGGATTTAAAAAAAAAAAAAAAAAAAAAAGCCTCCCCTGACACTGCTATCACATTTCCTGACAAGGTGAGGTAGTGCCCAAAAGCTCACTTAAGCATTGCCTTCCTTGAAGAAGCCATTAATTATCTCTAGGAAACAAAACATCAAAACTAAGCCAAATCCCCAAACTCCAAACAAACAAAAGCCAAACAGATAAGCTCGACCTCTAGGCTCCCCATTGTCCAGGCTGGTCTAGATTTGAAGGAGACATTTCTTCATGAAGTAATGAGTTACCCACAACTGGGAGGAAGAGGAGAAGGAGAGAGGAAGCACTGGCTGGCTGATTGGTAGGCAGTTGGGAGCAAAAGACAACAACATACAGGGTCACTTAAGCTGTTCTGAAAACCCCTGCCAGCTTGGCTTGTGTCCTGACTGATAGCACACCTGTGTTTCAGGGCTGGCAGTACACATAGGGCACTCCCCTCAAACACAGTTGAGAAGGTTCAAATTCTGATCACGGTTTTCAACAATGCTTACTGTTTTCTAATTGGGCTAATCCTATCACCACACAATTTTTTAAATCATATTCTCATTCTTAAAAAGATAAAGGAGTTCTACAAGATTATATTGTACCAACATATCCACCCATCCCTCCTGACCAGATGGCTTTAGAGTAACTAAAATTTTCCATTACCCCAGTGAAGATTCACAGACTATTGGAATGTGAGCCTGATTCGTTTGTGATAGCTTTTTCCCAAACTAGTAAAGTAAATCTAGAAGGCAGCTTATAATAGATCTGAAAAAGATGCAACTTGGACCCTTTGTGTGATTTCCACACATCATTAAGTACAGGTTAGATTGGCTGCATAGCTCTAAAGCCATGAGTTCTGAGTCCCTAGCTCCCAGGCACCACCCTGCCACACCCCCACACCACTGGGGAAATGCTTAATCCACCATTGAGGAGGAGACATACCAGCCTCTCCATCTTCATCAGCTTCATGTCCTGCTGGTGGAGCTTCTCATTCTTGATCTCTAACACAGCTTTCAGGCTTTCTAGCTCTTGCTCCAGATACATGACCTGAGGGTTTTTCTGGGAAGAAAAAAAAAAAAAAAAAAAAAACCACAAAGATAATTTCTCTGACTTATTTCTCATATTACACAGTCTGACCTCTTGATGTACTGAATCTGCTTAGACTTAAGCAGAGTAATAAGTGACTGACTTCCTTTTGACACAGGCAGGGTTATGCTATGAAACCTAGACTGACTGATTATTTACAGTAATCCTCCTGCCTCTGATTCCCATTGCTGGGATTACAAACATACACCACCATGGCCAGTTACATCAGTTACATGTATGTTTCTTTTCTTTGTTTTTTTGAGACAAGGTCTCATTCTGTAGCCCAGTCTCACCTATAACTTTCAACCTTCCTCTTGTCTTAGCCTCCCCAGTAGCAGAATTACAGGGAGCCATCACCATGCCTGGCTTCACTTCTTAGACAAGTTTCAAAGAAATAAAAGAAAAGTTAAGATCATTTAGACCTGAAAGACTTTGGTCATAATATTGACAACAAACACTTTTTCCTTAGTCATTTAATAGTGATAGCTACTATGTTCAGCAAATCTCTTATTAGACATAAGAAAACCATTGCTTACACCATAAAAACAGCTCTGGAGAGCTAAACAGCTAAACTGGGATCTAGAGGCAGAAAAGGCAACAGCAGTTTTCTATAAGCAAAGTCAGTCTCTGAGGAGAAATATAGGCAAAGACAGTACCATATGCAAGCCTCTGGAAAATACCATACAATGATAATGTCCTGAGCCCCTGGGTTTTCCTTGTGGTTATGTTGGCTTGGTCACAACTCTAGGGCAGCCACAAAATGACCATAGAAGATACCACAAATGGAAACTTGTGGTACCAGCACGGTGGGGCACCCCCACACCCCACTAATGGAAATTCAACTGAGCATCTGACAATTTGATACACATCAGATATAGCTGATCTATTGGCCAGATGTGATTCAGTTTTTCAGACAGGACTCAGGGTCGAGATAATTAAAACCAACAGGCATTGGTTGGTTCCTCCATTGGTTCCTCCATTCTGGAGGAATCTTAGGGGAGAATTGAGGACTTGCTTCTGCTTTACCCTACCCCTCACATTCTCTACTTCACAAGAGGAGGAAATACATCTATGGGTCAAATGACCTGCTGCTTTGTAAAGTCTGGGAGGGGTCCCAGACCCAGAAGGATCAAATCAGGGACCACACATGCATCTTCAAGTCCAGGTTCTTCAAAAATAAAACACTACGTGGTCCTTTTCAATAGTACAGTGTGGGACCTTAGATAAATCTCATATTCATTTGAGGAAAACAGTATAATCTCTTGTCATCTTCTAAAAACTACTTTATGTGCTTGCCTACATGTATGCATGTATGTTCCCCATCCATAAAAAGAAACGATGTGCAGCCATATGCTGTCTCAGGATGAACTGATAACCAGGGAAGGCTATGTATCACATGACTCTTTAGAATGCTCAGAACATCCAAGTCTGTGGAAATGGAGAACCGAGTAGTAGTTTACTCAGGGCAGGAGTCGTCTGGGGAATGGAGAGTGACTTGATGGGTTCAGGTCTCTCTCAGGGAAATAAAAACATTCTGGAATTAGATACCAATGACTAACACACAATGTCATGAATATGCTAGGATACTGAAGTCTAGGGTTTTTTGTTTTGTTTTGTTTTGTTTTAATATACGAAGAATTTCTAGGTTTGGATTTTGCTATTTTTCCCACTGGTAGTTGTTCAGACCTTTGGGTTTGAATCTTTGTCTTATTCAAAGGAGTGTAAAAAAAAAAAAAATCAATGAACAAAATTGTATGAAGTACAAAGAATATTCTAAAGCCCCAATTATGTCTCTAACTGCTAAAGTAGTAATTGAATCGAATGGCAACTGACCAGAAGAAAATCCAGTAGCAACAGGAATACACAACTTACCGAATTTGCCTTCTCTCTTGATATTCGCTTTTGTTCCTCTGATTTCAGCTTTTCATTTAAAGCATCGTTTTCACTCTTCAGATCATTAATTTGTTTCTAAGATACAAACAGTAACACGTGGAGCATCAGATACCAGGGCAGGATCAAAGGTACCAAGAGGCATAGTCCACACCATCTGACGGCACCAGGAGGGAGGAACTCACCTCTAGTGATTCCTGCTTCTCATTGAGTAGATTCTCAAGTGACTTCTTTTCCATTTCATGGCTTTTCTTGATTTCTGGAAAGAAGGAGCTTTGTTAATCTGCTTTGTTTTTTTTTTTTTTAAAGGCTATAACACCCTATGAGATCACGACACCACAACCTGATGAGTCCAGATGTGGAAGCTGATGAAGTACAAACTATGTTCCTTTCAATTCATTAAGATTCAATTATATAAACTAAGCAATGTTTTCTCAAAACAGCTTTACTATAGGCAAGGCAGAGATTTCTGGTTCAAAGCCCAGAAGCTCTGATGCCTATCAGAGGACCTCAGAATGATAGGGTTTTGATTTCTGGTCTGAGGACCCTTGTCTTCCCTTTGATTTGCTCTTCCATAAGAAAACAGAAATCTAAAATTAAGTTCATTCCTAGCAGGAAAAGACAGTGTTTACTAAATGTGCATGTAAATCAGCCATTTGTTTACCACCATCTGATTACACACAGCTCAATTTCTTATGAGACAGTCCCTCCCTCAAAGTCACACGGCCAGTTCAACTATACACCACTCTGTGAGTTGCAGCTGGTTCATGGTGGACATTCCATGGTACAGCCAACTTTGTCCCTTAAAAAAAAAAAAAAAAAAAAAAAAAAAAAAGCCTCTCATTCCTTCCTTTTGACTTCAAACTTCAACCATGGTAATACTAAACAGTATATCTTGTCCTTGTCCATCAAATGCCACCCATACTGTACCACAGCCAGGCTGTGCAAGAGCATTGATTCTTTTCAGCACTATGCTAGAATCTGACTCTTTGACTTTCATGGGACCTAAGGAAGCAACAACTACTGACACCAAACACTGGCACCAAAAAGGCCTTTAGAAGTTCATCCTGTTTCCTAAAGGCCTGGCCTGTATAACTAACCATTATTTGCATCCTTAAGGGAAAAGGGCACCCATTAGCAACAAACAATGCACAAAAAACCAAGAGGCCCGCCAAGCAATGCCATGCCATGGGGTGTTCTGTACAAGGCAGAGTTATGAATCATTTCCGTTTTAGTAAATATGATGTATTTCCATTACATCTCTACTGAAGTGGCAAAAAGCATCCTTGCCTGAAAGGGAGGTTTCGTAGGTTTTCTTCAGCAATTCTACTTTCTCTGAGTGGCTAGCTTCGATTTCCAGCTTGGTGGTTTCATGGGCAGCATTTAAGTTGTCAAACTGTAAGGAACAAACATACAGTAATTTACCAACAAGAGCAGAAGTGCTAAGATGATCAAGAAGCATACACTAGGGATTTAATTCATGTGCTTACACTTTTGTAGCTAATGGCTACTTGCTCCTCCCACAGCTCCACTGCATCCTCCCCAGGAAGAGAGATGGTCCAAGCTCTGCAGGGTTCACTGGTGGTAATGGCTGAGTTCATCACAAGGAGTGGAGCTGTACTTCACAGGCTCACCTCAGCCTCAAACCTGTCACACTGACCACTCTACTCTCAGCCCCTGCCTAGCACATGCCTGGGATATAGTAGGAACTATGCACATAGGTAAATAATAAAAAATCAAATAGGAAACAGAAATTCAAAGTTTATGATACTAATGGGGAAATGGGTTATTAAAAAGGCATTTTAAAAAATGTACAAACCAGTGGTTTAGTATCCGAATACCAGGATGCTTCCAAGGGAGATTAATTTTGAGGTTATTTCTATTCCGTCTTTTTTTCCTACTAGGGATTGAACAGAGCCTTGGATACACTTTGCAAGCTCTTGCTGCATCTCTGAGCTCTGGCCCTCCATTTTAATGTTTGAGACAGTCTTATTAAGTTGCCTCAACCTCTCCAAGTACCTAGCTGGTAAACTGGTAGGATTAGGATTATAGACGTTTTTGTTGTTGTTTTTTTTTTTTTTTTTTTTTTTTTTTTTGAATCCAGGAACTCACTGAGGCTGTATTTGGCCCTATTTTCAGTTTTTAATTTGAGCCATGTTGAACTTTCAATTTTCTCAGCAGCTAAGGCAGGCCTTGATCCTTCTGCTTTGGTGTTCTGATAGGGAGGTACCCCGCTGTGCCCAGCTACTTCCCCCTGGCTTTAACTCAACATTGTTTCATCATAAACACACCCCTAAAGGTTTCTTTCCCCAATTAAATTAAAAGGCAAGGGATAACTCATTGAAAATGCAGACAGCACATCTAGGACTCAACAACAGCCATGCCTGAGCAGCCCAGTGAGCCACCTACCTGCTCTTGCAGTTGAGTTTTATACTTTTCTGCCTCCTCGCTGTAGATGTCCCGAAGCTTCTCATACTCCACTGTGTAGAATTCCTTTAGCTGGTTCTCCAGTTCTGTCCGGTCCGTCTGGTGTTGCTGGTTTAGTTTCTGGACGAATCCTTCATATGCTGTTTGTAAGTCATTCCTAGCCTTTTCTAGCTTCTCACAGGTGCTTGAAGCAGCAACTATAAAGGACATGAAAGAGAAGAACCTCTAAACATGCTCAGTGTCTGAAACTCACAACATTTACACATAAACACAACACCATTTCACTCAATGTCCATCAAAAGCCATGTGCTAGAGGCCCATAGCACCACTGGAGGGTGGTGGACCATAGGTCACTGGGGCACACTTTTGCAAGGGACATCAGGATGCTGTCCCTTCCTCGCTTTAATTTCCCAGTCATAAGGCAGTTTCCTCAGCTGTGTGTTCTCCCTGCCTCGATGGCATAAAGGAATGGGGTCAGTAGATCCTGGACTGAGACTTCCAAAACTGTGAACCAAGATAAATCTTTTCTCTCTGTAATTTCACACATGTTATGCATTTTGATTGCTGCTACCATTCTCTCCCACCTCGGTAAGCCCCCTTCTACCATACAATGCCTGTCTTCTTACCAGGCTTATTGCACTTAGCGTGATGGTCCGCAAGCTTGTGCGAGGACTGCCTTCCCTTTAAGGTTGACTAAGACTCCAGTGTGTGTATACACACCACACACTGACCTACTAATGGCACCTAAGTTGTTTCCAGCATCTGAGCACACTGAACAATGCTGCTATGAACACTGGCACACCAACAGCTGGTTGGGTTCCTGCTTGAATTTTCTTGTGTCTTGTGTGGATGAAGAACTGCTGTTTTATATGACCAAATGTAATAATGAACAAGATTCCATGTCTCCACATCCTCACCAAAACATATTTTAAAAAAAATAATGTAGGAGGAAAGGGGAAAATGATGCAATTATAGTAATCTCTCTTTTTTCAATTTTAAGGAAAATATATAGAATATCCATTTTAATGTGTGTGGGCATGTGAGGTGACACATTAATATGAGGTGATACATTATGATTTTGATTTGTGCAGTGGGTTTTTAAGTAGAGTCACTTACAAATACATTAATTCTACTATGAAAGGCAAAAGCAGGCAGATCTGAGTTCCAGGCCAGCCTGATCTACAAAACTACACAGAGAAACCCTGTCTTGAAAACAAAACCAACCAACAAACAAAAGCAATTCTACTATTTAGACTGAAAACTTTACTCCACATGATATATAAAATAGTACACACTGTGCCTTGGGAACTAAAACACACACACACCACACACAGGAGCCAAGTGTGGTGGTGTGTGCTGCATGCACCCAGGAGGCCGAAGCAGGAGGATCTTTGTGTTTGAGGCCTGCCTGGGCTACAAAACAAGACTATCACAAAACAAAACCAGACAGACAAAAATCGCAATCAAACCAGTCCACAAAGTACAAGTGTTGGAGGGAACAGCCAAAATAGCAGATGGATGAAAGCCAGACTAAAGGGGCTGTCACAGGGAATGATTTAATAAATGATAATGAATGGCTTTCTCAATTGCTAAAAATAACCTTTTCACACTTACAGCATTTATCAAGAAAGATTCAAGATGTCCAATATTACTCTGACGAGTAAACATTAACATTAGCTGACTTTCTAACATGTAAAAATGAGAACAATGGAAACCTTCTCAGGAGGTTGATTGTGTGCCTCAAATTAGAACTTTTTATGGGAAAAAGTCTATAAAAGTAGCCAGTTGATGAAGAGCTAGCTTCTTAGTGAGGGAAATCCTGTTTTTACAATGTCATACATCAGCAATAACAAGCAAGCAAACATGAGTAGGCTCATCCAAACACTCACACCAGACCCAAGCATCTGGGCACACTGGTGTCTGGGTACATGGGTGTCTAGGCATGCACACACAGTACACGATTATCTCAGTGAACCCCATCATTTATGTCTACTGTGGGTACACAGGGCTTTTATACACTACACCTGTCAGAGTTTCACACATCTGCTTATAATCAGACTACTGTCAGCTTAAATATATAATCACAGTATGCTGGTGTTTAAAATCAACTAGGATATACAGAAATCCTCTCCCATTAGCCACTGGATAGGTCTGCTTACTCTGTTTAAACACACAAAAACCAGTAGCCTAAACAGTGTGCAGCTTTGCTGGCTACTGCGAGCTCAGTGAAGAGGGAACAGATTGGAGGGGAGAACCGGAAAGAGAAAGAGCAGATGGAGGAGCAGACCGCTTACTACTGTTACTTCCAACAACCAAAGGGCAGGGCAGAGCAGGGCAGGCCTGGCCCCAGGAGGTGACATCAGCCTGCAGCTGTGCAGGAATCTTCTGCTGTTTACAGTGCTGTGCACAACAGCTGGGGCTACACTCCACCCTCACGCCAATGGCTTTAGTTCAGATCCAAGGCCTGGGCTCCTACGGGAATGGTTACTTTGTGGAGAGACTCCTGAATTCTTTTTTAGAAGGATGCACGCATAAACACTGCACTAGGGGCTTTCAGAGGGCTCCTTGTCGTCTGCTGGGGCATACTATAGGTGCATAGTAGGGGAATAAGGACTTCACCCCACAATTTTAGGCTATGGATGCTCTCCCTGGTTTCTCAAAGCATGGAGGAGTCACAGGGCCACCAGTGCTGGCTGCTGACCATCCTCAGTCTTTCTTCTTGCTTCTTTGCTGGAAGTCCACTACTTTCAGTTTATCTGACAGCTAACAAAGCCAAACAATAGCAGAAGGCCATCCAGGATTAAGAATAAGTTACCTGCACTTGGGAGGCAGAGGCTAGTGAAATTTCCCTAAACTGCCAGTTCCCAGACATGGTCTCACTTTGTCATGGAGCTCTGGCTCTCCTTGAACTCACAGAGATCTGCTGCCCCTGCCTCTGGAGTGCTGGGATTAAAGGGGTGAGGAGACATTACTTTCTGCTTAGAAAAAATCTACCACTTATGTCCTTGTTTTCAAACATTCCATTCCATTAGTAGTTTTCAAAGCTTGTACATCAAGCACATATAGAATAGATTCTTGATGTACACTTGAAAGTATATTGCTTATGAGCTTTAAAAGCTAGCCCCAGCAATCTAACTTAAGACATTTAGCTAGAACAGGGCATAGTGGTGCATGCCTTTCATTCCTGGCATTTGGGAGTCAGAGGCAGGTGGATCTATTTGAATTAGAGGACAGCATTGTCTATATAGTGGGTTTCAGAACAGCCAGAGCTATGAAGTGAGAACTGTCACAAAGGTGTGTGTGTGTGTGTGTGTGTGTGTGTGTGTGTGTGTGGGGCACACATGATGTCCTATCATTCAGGAAGCTGTGGTAGGAGGATAGGGAGTTCAAGACCGGACTGGGCTAAATGAAGTGTTCAAAGCCAGTCTGGGCTACACAAGAGCCTCTCCCCGAAAAACCATGGGCTACAGATACAGCTTAATGGTAAAGAATGTTTGTAGCATGCACAATTGCCTGGATTCAATCCTTAGCATCACAAAAAACTTTTAGACTCAAAAAAAGAAAGGCAAAGACCCATTTCCAAAATTATCTCTAAAGTCTAAATCCATGTAAAAGATAGAAGTTGACACTTTTATCAGAGATACACAAGCCCTGAGCCTACTGGGCCAGGGGCAAAGCAGGGGAATGGGGGAGCCCTGCCTGACCCTGCCCTGCCCTGCCTGTCTAAATCACAGCTATTTGAGCAAGGCAAAGTAGCTGCACAAGAAGTAACAATCATTTGGATGGCATCTAGAGAAGGCACCACTGTATGGTCAAGTCTGACCTTGGGAAAATAGAATCAATACTAATCTCAGGCCCTTTGGCAGTTACCCCTAGTAGAGAGGAAGTGACCATACTTAATTAGTCCCCAGGGATTTTTGTAACGGGGTTGGGGGGGGGCAGTTGAACTGAGTATTTCCATCTCGTAGAGACAGATTTCCCTTTGCTGACTGATGAATGTTGTTATGGAAGAAAACATTACCCAGCCATGGCCTGAAAAATGTCAGTATTCTTGGAAACCAAACAGAGCTGCCTTCTCTTTAGTATATGAGTAATAATGTTTCATTGGAGGCAACTAGCAATATTTTCAGTGCTTGAGAATACAAGCACCTTCACAGAATAAAACCAGAGAACTGGTTCCAATCTTGGCACTCCAGTTGTCTACCGTGTGATTTTCAATGGTTGCTCACATTTCCTCACCTCTAAAATGGAGACAACAGGGATACTTTCCCTATGGAATTAAGTGTAATATGTAATAAGTAACTGGCCCTGGGCTCAATCATTTAAATGTGTGTTATATGTTACTGTTGTTATTATCAGAGGACTCAAAACTAATTGTACATTCCTTGGAGACATGCTTGAAGTTCAAAACAGAATATAACAGTTAATTGAGTTTGATCTTTAGCACCTACTCTCCCCATACACTATGTACACACACACACACACACACACACACACACACACACACACACAAGTACATACACTTAAAAAAAAGCATGATTTGTCTAGGATTTAAAAATGACAAATAGGTAGCTGGGCAGTGGTGGCACAAGCATTTAATCCCAGCACTCAGGAGACAGAGGAAGGAGGATCTCTGTGAGTTCCAGGCCAGCCTAGTCTACAGATCCATGGTGGCCAGGGCTGTTATACAGAGAAATCCTGTGTCAGAAAACAAAACAGTAAAAGAATAAGTATGCCCACATACATAGCAGGGTCTCCTCCTCCAATCAACCTGCTTCTATCATTCTTTATCTTCTAGACTACAAACCTCCCTTACTTTCAGGAGATGTGTGTTTTTTCTATAAACAGACCCAAATTCCAATAAAGAAGGGCAAGGGAAAGTGTGGGAGGTGCAGTTCACATGGAAAGTGAGGCAGAGTTTGTACCATGTAAGAGATAGTGACAGAAAGGGACAAATAGGAAAATGGGAGGACCCCCCCCTCCAATTGTGTGACTTGCTTTCCCAAGATGCTTTGGGGTTCTCTTCTGCGTCATTCTGGAGAGAAATGGGAGGGCTTGTGTCTAACTTGCCTTGCCTACTTTGGGTCCTCCTCTTGGTGGATCCCTGGCCACCTGGGACCCAGCCACCTGCTGGGAGTTCTGGTTCTTTTATGCCTTTCTTCAGAACACAACTGATAACTTTGTCATTCTCCTGTAC